CGCCCCCCACACCCCACCCCCTGCGCTGGACCTACTTCCCGCCCTGGCTCCGCAGTGCGCACGAAGAGCAAGGTGGCAGGCACAGGTCTGCCCTGGGCTCATGTCCATTGAATGCTAGTTATTCAGATCAAAAGCTGCCGTTCCAGCAGCACGACCGAGACGGCCTGTCCTTGGCCCCGCCTGACACTGGTTTACTCAGGGTCACTGCATGTTTGTACATGAAACACTGTCATTACACAAACCCACACCACATGGACAGAGGGAATCTACAACTAACACAAGACCAGAAGGCCGATCTCCCGCGGAACCAGACGCGGCAAACTTCTGAGTCCCCACCAACCATACCCAGCGGGAGCGGGAGCAGCGACAGCGATCTCAGTCCTCCCTCCACCCACCACACAATCTCCACTCACCCAAGAGCAGCTTCTGTCATCGCTCCCTTCTGCACATGGGCACGCAGAGGCTCGTGGGTTGGGGCAGCTGCTGGTGTGACCGGGTAAGGAGGCAGCGGTACTGGCTGCCCAGCCTCACTGCCTCCACCAGCTGCAGCTCCTCACACCCTCTCTCGGGCTGGAGGCCCTGGGCAAGACCTGACCTCTAAGCATCCTTCCTCACTGGTCAAATGGAACGGCGAGAAACGACATCTCTACGAACAATGAGCAGCTCATCCCTGGGCCAGGAGTGGGGCGTGTGTGGTGGGGGGCAGTTCACAGAGCTCCCCAAGGGCACTCTGTCCACATGCCCCAGGCCTGGCACTGGCCCACCCCACGTGGAGGCGAATGCCTGGTTCCGACTGGGCGATACCGAGAGCAGGACCTGGGCCCTGTCCTCCACCTGTTCACAGCGCACAAACACAGGCAGCGGCCATCCGCAGGGCGCGTGTGGTGGACCCTGAAGGACTGCCAGCCTTATTTTTTGTCTTAAAAATCAGCTTTCAAATGTCAGTGAAGGCCCTGGCCCGGCAGCTCGGTTGGTTAGAGTCGTCGCCATATGCCAGGTGTGGTTCCATCCCTTGTCAGGGCCCATACGCGAAGCAGCCAATAAATGCGTACGTGGAACAACAAAGTCAATGTTTCTCTAAAACCAATCAATAAAGTTTTAATTAAAAAAGGCCCGGATCTGATAGCTTCACAGGTGAATTCTACCAAACATTTAAGAATTACTACCAATTCTCAAGTTTCCCCAAAAAAACAAAGAAGAGGGAATACTTCCTATATTTCTGATGCCAGTATTAACCCTGATACCAAGACAAAGGCACAAAACCTACAGCCCAATGCCCCTTATGAACTCTCAGCAAAAAATTCTCACCAAAATACTAGCGAACCAAATTCAGCAACATATTAAAAGGCTTACACACCATGACCAAGTGGGGTTCTTTTCCTAGAATGCAAGGATGGTTAAACTTATGAAACTTGGTCAACGAATGAATTAGATTGAATGTGAACACCTCACAATATATACAAATATCAAATCATGTTGTATACCTGAAATTAATATATCAATTATGTCTAAAGGGAAAAAAGCAGTTTACATTATAATACCAGTGTTCTGGGCTGGGAACTTAAGTTGGCCTAGTTCCATGCTTACCCTATACTCAGTACTGCCCCACGGCACCTTCCTCCATCCCTTTCACAACTTGTTTCAAGGAGTGATCACTTATGTGCATGTATGACCCGCAATTAATTTAAAGGGCAGGAAGTGGGTCTCGATCGTCTCTGCACTCCCTCGCCTCGTGTGAAACAGCGTGCAATTACAAACCTCACACGGCAGCAAAGGCGTCACACTTTGCCCCCTCTAACCTTACAGCCACCTCCTGTGTCATGCTCCACACACTCTCCACGCCAGTTATACTGGCTAAGCACTCCTACCGGGCCTGGCACAACTCGGTGCTACACACCCCGGGAGGTGACAGCCTACACTCAGTGCTGGGGGGAAGGGAGCAACCATCCTCAGGCGTCCACACTCTACTTCCACAGAAAGGATTCGCGGCGGAAAAGGCCCAATACACACCTGAGTAGCAATGGTCAGACACAGTCACATCTGCGCACCCACTATGTGCAGGAGATGAAGCTGTGTACTCGACATGTTAACCCGTGTGTTCACAACGTAAGTCGACAGGCAGTAGGTTATTTCTACAATGTCTATTCACTCAATGAGGACATGAGCTTCATAAAGACAGCAATCAGCCTTTCTTGATCCTTTCTGCATTTTTAAAATATTTTTCTATTGCTTTCATAGAGGAAGGGAGAGGGAGAAAGAAACATCAGTGATCAGAGAGAATCACTGATGTGCTCCCTCCTGCAGGCCCACACCCGGGATCCAGCAGCAACCGGGCATGTGCCCTGACCCCACGCCCAACCACTGAGCCACCCC